TCTGAAATCTGTCCCATGTGTCCCACCATACACACTCCGATGCTCAAGCCAGCACAGTAGGTGTTGCCCTGGGCACCTCTCCCATGTTGCTTGTTCTCCCACAGGTGTCCCTACTTTTGCAAGAAAGCCAGCAGAGTCCCATCCCCTCCACCACAGGAGCACACCCACCTCATCATGTCCCCCGTCATCAGAACCACCCCCTCTAGTGCTTACTTTCCTTCAACAAGTGTCTGTCTCCTCCCTTTAGTTATAGAGGCCTCAAGCTGGGCATAGGAGCTGAGCAAAACAGTCTCTGTGGCTGCATGAAGCCAGTGCTGGACCCTGACCTTTCCCTGCTCAGACAGCCTGCAGTGGCTCCCCCATGTGGGTGCATTTCTGGACTGCGCATCTCTGCCACACTGATTTTTCCAGGTGATTCCCTTGCCATTCTGCCCCTGAGGTCTCTCCCGGTTTCCCAGATAAGCCTGTGACTCCTAGACACTCCCCATGAATAAAGCCAAATACGAATATGGCACAGAGGGGCATGTTGTGTTCATGGACAGATCACGGTATGCATGAATAAAGCCAATTTCTAGCCACCTTGACATATCCGTTTGTCTAACTACCCTTACTATAATTGCTATCATTACTGAAGCTCACGCCCATCTCTGTGCCTGCCCCTTCTCCAAAGCACAGACTGCCCTGCTTTTCCCTGGACCGGGTCACAAACACCTGGTGAGCTAGCACAGTACAGGGCTCAACTCGGTCTCCAGACCTGAGTCTGCAGGACCGGAGCTTCCCATGGAAGAAGGTGCCCCTGAGACTGGCCAGGCCAGTCTGCAGTCTGAGGTGGTGAGTCACCTCCTGGCTCCAACTCAAGGAACCCTCAGTGCACCCTTGTTTGGAGAAGACCAGGAGCCGCAGCGCGGAGACAGGAGGACAGTCATCAGGAGTCACCAAGACCCTAAGACACACCGGGAGGGTCACAGAAGGGTCCAGATAATTGGAGACAGAGAGGAGGAAGATGTCAGATCCAGAACAGTGAAATGGACCAAGGAAGAGCCCTGCGCGCGCAAGGCCACACGCAAGAGCGCGCAGGGAGCCTAGCTTTGAGCACCGCTCGTGCTCCCTAGCCTGCTCCACCCGCGCCCGGGATCCCAGCGTGGGCAAAAAATTGGAACCAATGGACTGTCAAGCCTGGGCATTACCTCACCGGAACGCGCTGCCATTGGCTGGCCCCTACGCCGGTGCGCGCTGTTGCTATGACAGTTTGGACCGGTGTTGCGCAGAGATGCCAGAAGGAGGCTCCCCTCTTCTCTCCGGGGATTCCCATTCAACTCCAGGGACCTCTACTGGGACCTCAAGAGAAAAATCGAGCTCCAGCAACTCCAGCAGGAACCAGAACTCCTCTAACGACACCAACCACTTCTCTGCCACAACCACTCCCTTCCATTCGGTGCCTGGCCCCACCCTGTCACTATACAAGCACCTACAGATAGCCAGACACACATAACCACGCAAGGCAGCGCTGGCCTCTGTGCAGACGGACGAGTCCCTCCAAGTCTGTGTCCCGGAAGCCCTGCCCCGTCTAAGTAAGCAAACAGCCGAGAATTGCAAGCCTATGTTAAGGGCCCATGGGTACTCCTTGAGATGTCTCAACTCAACCACTGGGTTGTGGAGGTTTCTGAGAGACAGAAAAGCAGAACTGAAGTTTTCTGGACAATAGAGGATAGGGGAAGGGTTCCATCCTGCCCTTCCAGACCAGACCAGAGATAGGCAGTGTTAGGGCACTGTCGCAGGGAGTTAGATGCTGTGACAGGGAGACAGAAAAGGAGGAGTTGGCCTAAATCGGAAAGAAGTGCAAAAGCAAGGTCCCAAAGGGTTTGAAAGTGATGCCAAGGAGTTCTGAACCATACTCAAGGAAGAGGGGAGGAGTCGTGATGTGTGGGAACCCGTGATAAGAGAGACAAGTACTTTGATTGCCTTGAAGGATGAGCAGGAGGGAGACTGGAGACCAGTTTCTGCAGGCGCTGAGAGTGGTAGAGAAATGCTGAGCCCCCTATCCAGAGTGGAGATGCAGGCATAAAGGGTGGGGACAGCCATGAATCGATGAATCGATGTCCCCCTTACCTAGGAAGTTGGGGTGGGGGAGCTTCCTGACAACCCACCAAGGCCATCATGACGGTCCACAGCATCATGACGGTCCACAGCATCATGACGGTCATCTCTATATGCAACGACAGCTTCATCAGCTGTACTAAACTGAAAAGATCCTCCTTCCCTCCTGCTCTCTTCTCCCCCTCCTTCCCTCCTCTCCCTCACTGTGGCTCTAGCACCTGGCACAGATCTTCATTCTAAATCCCAGCCCACCAACAGTAAGCTCCCACCAAACTGCCCTACGATCACCTCTTTGACACAGCCTCCATCCGCTCCCGCCTCCCTTCACCCAGCCTCCTCTCTCTCAGCTTTCGTAATGTTATAGCCATCATCTAGGTCTAACTATGGTCTGTCTCCCTCTCTTCCATCTCCCTCAGTCCCTCCCCTTTCCCTTCCTCCCTCTCTCCCTCCCTCTCTCACTCCTCCCTCCCTCCCCTCTTGGTCTCTTCCTCTCCTTTGTCTCTGTCTGTCTCTCTGTCTCTGTCTCTGTCTCTCCCTCTCCCTCTCTCTCTCTCTCTCTCTCTCTCTCTCTCTCTCTTTCTCTCTCTCTCTCTCTCTCTCACACACACACACACACACACACACACACACACACACACCATGCCTCAGCCCTTCCAGAGAAGAGAAAATGTCTTACTCCACTGTGGCCCAGTAAGGCCCTTTTTCTATGTGCTACATGGCACATGCACTGGTCTACCATCATGATGACAGATCCTCAATAAACATGCAAGCAGGTGAGGAGACCTACGTAGGACCTTGGTGTGCACAGCCCTGCAGTGGGGCACCTGATTAGCTCCTCACAGAAGGCTGCTTTCACTACACTTGTCACCCAGCAGTATCATGTGGTAGTGTCACGTGGGTGTCACAGGGTCTCGAGTAAGAAGCACCCTGCAGTATTAACATAGTGGTGAGACTGGATCCTGCATCAGATAGGACTCCAGCTCTCCCCATCACTCAAGGACAGTGCCCAACAGCTCTGATGATGAGAACGGACTCATGAGCTCCCAGTGAGGCAACATTTCAGCTCCGTCTCTTTCCACTAGCACTTGAAAGCAAGTCCCTGAGTTGAACCAGTCTCTGCGAAGTAGCTGGGGTAGTCTTGAGTTTTCTCAACAGATAACCAAAAGAGACACATAAGGACTTATGCGTGCCTGCTCTGAGCTGATGTCACTCTTGAGCAGACTAGGAACTCGAAGCCCAACAGTAGTGGGCAGTGCACGAAGTCCAGAGAGACAGAGGCCAGGTTCTATAGGGCCTTCTAACCATAGACTCAGGTTAGATATTGCTCTTTTGAGACATAGTCTCAATATGTTCGGATACAGGCACAACTTAAATGCGCATGCACGCGCGCGCCCGCACGCGCGCGCGCACACACACACACACACACACACACATTTTAAGAGATTTACAAAATAACTTCTACATTCTGGCACTGTGGGTGGTAAGTGTGTGGGTGTTTATCTTTGCTAAATTGTGCAATTATGTTTTTGCACTTTTTTCAGTTTTTATTAGCATATAGTAATTGTGTATAAAAATGTATTTCATTGTGAAATAATGTATTTTGTGCTGTGTATAATGTATTGTTATAATGTATTCCGAACATATTCATATCTATCTGTTACTTTCTCTTATCTGCCTTCTCCCCCTGATGCCTCTCCTCTTGCCAACTACTCACCCCCCCACACTTTCATGTCTTACTTTTAGGGAACCAATAAATTTAATTAGGGTTACTCAGAGGAGCATTGGGGAAGAGCTATTTATAGAACCTGGGCAACTTGTATTTCTCATGAACTTTCTGTACAAATTTTCGGTTTTATAATAGTATGTTCCAGTGGTCCATCATTCCAGTAAATGGGGGGAGGGGTGGCTGGAGAAACAGCAGTGCCCACTTTTGATTTCAAAGCGGAAAAGCAGAGGAAGAGATGGAGAGGGAGATGGGGACTGAAGGTCAGGCTGAGACACCGGTTGACGGATCGAGTTCTCCATGCCCGATGGGCAGTTGAGGTCGTCAGGAGTAAGCAATGGAGTAGAAGATCTCAGAGAAACACCAGTCTCCACAGCAGCTGAAGAAGAGGTGTGCAAAAATGTCAGCAATAGACATGTGTGGCTAAGAGCTCACAAGCAGAACATCCAATATCTACTGACTTAAGAGAAAAACAACTTGTAAAGACGACGGATGTGCTGTAGAGAGAACAGGTTGGAGCCTGTTTTCGTTTAAACAATCGCACGGTTAAATTGCTTTTGTAAGAAGGGAGTGCTGCCTGGCGGTGGCGGCGCACGCCTTTAATCCCAGCACTTGGGAGGCAGAGGCAGGCAGATTTCTGAGTTTGAGAGTTCAAGGCCAACCTGGTCTACCGAGTGAGTTCCAGGACAGCCAGGGCTACACAGAGAAACCCTGTCTCGAAAAACAAAAAACAAAAAAACAAAAAACAAAAAAAAGAAGGGAGTGAAGCCAGTAGTGCAGGTCCCCAGGAATTTCATAGACTGGCCACTTGCTCCCAGGAAATAGCCTAGAGAGGCACATGGTGTTGGGTGAGTCCCAGCCTAAAAACCAGAGGATCAGTGGTATGGCCAATGGAAACTCAGCACTCAGGAGCAAGATGGCGGATACCTGCATGCTCTCCCACACCGGCCTCTGTCAGCGAATCTCTGACTTGTGTTTCATGCCCCTGTCTTCTGTGTCATGGACGTGAGGTCTTGTGAGCTCTTGCTTGTAGGGTGCTTTTGTTGTTGTTTCTGTGTTTTCCCCCAAATAAAAGCCAGAGCTGCCATGGCTGGCCCTGAACTCTAGCTGCCATGGCTGGCCCCGAACTCCATCTGTGGCTGAGGATGAGCTTCAAATTCTCTTTGTAAAATTTAACTTACCTGCCCCTAGAGGCACTGCAGGTGTGGCTGCTGTGTCCCATGTGTGTCAGTAGGTGGCAGAGAGGAAAGAGGCTATCTCTATGTTGTTCTGACCTACGGACAACTGAATGATTAGTAACCTAACACTCCCCCAAAAGGGCGAACCTGAGACAACCTGGTCAGGGAACTAGTCTGAGATAACCACCAGGTCCAGCACAGGTCCTGTCGGGTTGCTGGAGACTAGAAGAATCCCTGCCTGGTACTGGGGGCCCCCTGAGTGGAAGTGAGTTGGAGACAATGTTCATAAGGGGCCACTTGGTCAGGCAAGAGTAGTGGGGAGTGAGCCCAAGATGGTCACCAGACTGGCACCAGAGGACCTAGACAGGTAGCTAGCCTGAGATGTCCATCAGTCTGGGGCAACACAGGCCTGGGGGTACAGACCATGGCTGAAATGATTTCTGCCCAATGTCATAATACACAGGTGGGGCATAGCAGTCCTGAGATCACTCCTGAGAGGATCTCAGACACTCAGAGACCCTGGAGAACCACTAAGAGAAGCAAGTATGTGGTCAAGAAACAGAAAAGAAAGAGAAACAGAAGGATGTGGGCACAAAGAAGAGAGGCAGAACTGGAGACACCGGGTAGTGGGGAACAGCCTGTTGTGAGTAGCTGGTAATGCCATGTGTGTGGGAGGAGTTCTAGCCTATTCTGTCACTGGGTGGGGAGGCACATCTGGGTCCACTGCATTGCAGAAGCAGGAGTCTGATGTCCCTGGTCTGGGGTGCCACCTGGGGAGATGCTGATGTCCAAGAGCTGTATAGAACTGGCACCACCCCTCACCTGGTTGTTGTCTGGGGGCTGACCCTGGAGGTATAAGGGCAGGAGAGCGGACCATATCACTTGGTCTCCATTTGGTGAAGGAGAGAGAGAGACTCTCCCTTCCTCCTTCCCCCCACTTACTCCTCCTTCTCCGCCCCTTCACCAGAACTGGCCCTGCCTCTCACCAGCTGCAACACTTGGGAGAGTGGGCCCTTCATCTAACCTGAGGAGTAGGGTAAAGCAGGCCCTGGTTGCAGTTGCAGTGTGGATGGGGGTTGCTGGTGAGCCGGCTGCAAGGGCATGAGTGGGAGAGCTGCTAGCTGACCAGCTCAGATACCTCTCAGGCTCAGATCCAGGGCTTTGAATTGGCACACTGGGACATCTACCCCATTGATTAACTGCTGGAGTGCACGGAGGGAAGCAGAGCCAGAGCTGCGGGATCTCCAGAACACAGGGCAACAGCAGGATGTCCTAGAGGAGTCCCTGTGAGGTTCCATTATTGATGGAGTGGCAAAGGCCAGAGGCCTTGAACCAGACCAAGGAGTCATTGCAACGAACATTTGCAAGCAAAGAAGTGTGTATAAAAGGATACACTGTGGGACACACTGTGATACACCACAGCTTCCACAATGAGATTTTTTTTTCTGTTGGGGAGTGGTGGCTGCAAGGGTTGAGGGCGGGCACAGGGGGAGGAGGAGATGAGCAGAATTAGGGTACAAGATGTAAAATTTATGAAGAACCAGTAAAAAGTTTTTAAAAATTAATTTGTGTGTATGGGTGGGTGAAGGAGGGAGTGAGTGTCTGTTGATTCTGCATGCATGTGATGCCTGAGAAGGCCGTCTGGGCCACCTGGGATCTGAGTTTTAGGCAATTGTGAGCTACCTCTTATGGGAGCAAGCCTTCTTAACCACTGAGCCATCTATCCAGCTCAGACTGACTCTGAAGTTCTGACTTTCCTGCAGACACCTCTCAAGTGCTGAGACAGTGGGCATGTTCTACCAGTCACCTGGTTTCTGTGGTGCTGGCAATGGAACCTAGGGCTTCATGTATGTTGGGCAAGCCCTTTCCCAATTGGACACATCCCCAGCTCTCTGCTAAGAATCTTTATTTTTAAAACATTGTTCTTCTCCATCAGGGTGAGAAAGATAGAGGGGTCCAGGGGCTGTGGTGTGACTCTTATCTAGCATGTGGGTTCCATCCCCAGGACTGAGGAATTAAGTACAGAGGTCCAAGGATAGACCTTGCCTCTAACTCAGACTAGGAAGAAACAAACCCATAGAATCGATACATTTTATGATTTGTGTTTCAGTTATAACAAGACACACTAACCAGGTCTGGGGGGATGGGTCAGAGGGTTTTTTTTCTACATACTTCTTATGATTTATTTTGTATGTGAGTACATTATTATATTATAGGTGGTCTTCAGACACACCAGAAGAGGGCATCAGATCTCATTACAGATGGTTCAAGTACCATGTGCTTGCTGGGAATTGAACTCAGGACCTCTGGAAGAGCAGTCAGTGCTCTTAACCACTGAGCCATCTCTCCAGCCCTTCTTATGATTCCTTAAGAGACATATGTCCACCAAGAAGCCCATACTGGCCTCAAACTTGGGATTCTCCTTTCTCAGTCACTCTGTGCTGGCATGACAGGCATGTGCTGTCATGCCTTGCCTTTATAATATTTAAAATGAAATCTAAGCAACTAGTTTCACATCTGATTAGATTTACAGAAGTTGCTTGGGTGCTTAAGAAGAATTTGTTCATCATATTTGTAAGGCTCCCTTGTCAGGTGTTTGAAGTATTTGAATTGGATAAATTAAATTTGTAATTGTACTTTGAAATATCTAAAGGAATTTGCTTAATTAAATGTTTGAGTGGTTTAAAAGTTTACGAGGATTTAATCTGTCAAGTTTATGACTTAATTGAATACCAATCAATGAGAAAGTAAATGTGATCTTGCTTTATATAAAAATTACTAGGTTCATAAATAAAATATCAAGATCCGTAAGGTAGAAGGGAAAAGCCAAGGCGGGAGCAAGGGTCTGAGATCCATAACGCTAAGAAATTAAATATGGATTGATAAGTAGCTTGTTGTATTTGTCCCTTGCTAGCTGAATGCTCACACCTGAGTGGTTTATAAACACACACACACACACACACACACACACACACACACACACACACACA